CCCCAAAACCCCAAAACCCCAAAACCCCGAAATATGATATTTTAAAATTTAGTGAAGTTAAAAATTATATTAGAATAGTAAGAAATGAATGAAATTAGTAAAGAAAAATAGCTAAATAAGAAATTCAAGAAAAGGCCATCTTTAAAAATTATTGATAAAGATTTTGATAATGTTGTTCAATATTAGGTACCAGATGATAAGTTAATGACTTCAAACAAAATGTTCTTGGGGCATTAAGTGTCACTTGAAGAAAGCATTAAATAGAACAAGAACGGAGTAGATGATTCAAAGAAATATTACGACTCGAACACACCTATTTCTGAGAATCTGTAATAATTGAATTCTTATCATAATAGATACTCTGATATTGATACCTAGGGAATTAGTTCTGCCAGAAATTACAAAAGTTCAGAAGGCTAGCTAAACCCATTTTAATTTACTGATGAAACTAACAAATAACACTCTCAAAACTTAAATACTGAAGATAAAAGAAATTAATACGATAGAGAAGAGGAATAAGAGTCTTATGATGGACCTAGGACATTTCGATTCATTAAGACTGGCATTGGCCTTATTCTTACATCAATTTGCTACTTTACATCACTGGGTAATATGATAGTGCAGATTCTGTATTTCTTGAGAGTTGAATATTTGAATAGTAATTACTACTGGATGTACTTTGTTTTTATTTTCCTCAGGCCAATTATCAATCTGACCATTGTTCTTTATTAATATTTCTAGCCACTTATTAGATCTAGTATAGTTAGTAAATAAGATCTTGAAACAACTAAAAGTAGAGCCTTATTTTACTTAAGCCAATTCCTGTTGCTATCACTAAGCTCTTATCGCTACTATTCATTAACATCATTTAGCAAAATAATAATATGCAGCTACTTAATTGAGTTATTCCTATAAACTTCTGAATTGTTTATTTTGCAATTGTTTAACAATAATCAACTTAACTACAGGATAATGAGAAATATATAGATATTTGGTATGGCTTTAGGTGCAGCTAATTTTTTATTGTTGTGCTCTGAAATATTGACAAAGGGCTTAAAGATTTGCATTATGGTCAGATATAATAAATGGCCTTTAGTTTAAAAATCAGAGAAAGAAATTATAAGGCCTATTTTCTTTAAGTTAATGGCACTTAGTGTGATTTCTGTATTGATGTTCATTGTCTCATTTGCATTCATATAGTAAGTAGTTCCCTTAAGAAAATGTATTCCTGGGTAGGGATTTAAATCTGGCCAATGCGTGGATTGTTTAGATTATAAATGCAGTTATTGTGAAAATTAATACAACAAATGTTAGGTGTGTCATTCAGGCTACTATCTTGACTCAGCTGACTAATGCTAGAAATGCACTATTGATGGATGCTAATAATGTGATGGGGAAAATAGCTGTGGACTCTGCTATCCAGGATACAGATTAGAAGAATAAAAATGCATACCATGTGATATGATGTAATTTTGCGGGGAATGCAACTAAAATTAATGCTTAACTTGCATAACTGGTTATTACATGGACAGCTTAGGGCCTTAATGCTTACCTTGCAATTAAAATGATAAATACTGTGAGGCTTGCGATAGTGTAGATAAATGTACTAAATGTTAACCCTAAATGACTCGACTTACTGATGGTAAATGTGAGTGCAATAAGGAAAGAAACTGGGTTCTATCCATTGACCAAGAAAGTTGTATTTGTGATTAATATGTCACTGCCGGCAAAAATATGTGTTATACCTGTGATTAGATCATACCAGGATGCAAATCTTGCTCAGGATTTAGTGATTACGAACAAGGAAATATATTCATTGGTTCAACTGTGTATTCACCTTTGTAATTTGATTACTTGAGTTGTGAAGAATGCTTGCCTGGTAAATATTATAATAAAAAACACTCCCACTGCGAATAATGTTCTCAAATAACTTCCTAATGCAGTGAATGCGATATTTATGGATAGGAATGCTACAGATGTAGTGAGGGATTTTATCTTGATAAAAGTAATATAACCTAGAATAGAGGGATATGTTTATCTTGCGGTGAAGGTTGCCAAAATTGTATTGAAGGAAATAAATGTTAGTAATGTAAATAGGGATATTATTTAAATTAATCAGGAAGATTTTGTGTCAAATTTTGATTAATTAATAAAATCACAATCTTGTATATTCCTGGAGAAATAGAATTAATGGGGTTTTGGGGTTTTGGGG